CCGTCTGGTGGGGATGATGGACGCGAGGGGCTGCTAGGTGGTCGTGCAGCACCTCGCGCTCGGCTGGCGGCTCGCATGCTGTCACGTCCAGCGCCAGCTCCAGACGCGCCCCGGCGACCCCCAGGCAGCGGCCCTATGCGCGTTCTATTATCTTCCATCATCCTAACAGTCAGTGTGCGATGTGTTTTATGCACGCTTGACCAAAGTGCTTAACAGCCTTTTGTCCGGTGTGAATAAGACGCACGCATATAACGGTTGGGTCATGCCTGTTCTCATGTATACCTTTGGCATACTTAGGTGGACTCAGACCGAACTAAACGCTCTGGACAGAAAAGTCCGCACTATAATGACGTCCCACAGGATGCATCATCCGAGATCGTCAGTAATGAGGCTGTACTTGCCGCGGAAGCATGGTGGGCGCGGCTTTTTAAGCGCGCTTACCATGCATAATCGCGAAGTGTGCAGCCTCCGTAATTACTTTCTGACGAGAGCGGATGATCCATACTATAGGGACGTTATTTCTTGTGATAAAGGACTGACCCCTCTATCCTTAGCCAACGAGCAATGGCAAGACCCAGCAGTACAGTGCATTTCCGACCGGGAGGCCGTGTGGAAGGAGAAGGAGCTCCACGGGAGGTTCTACAAGGCTCTACATGAGCCTTTCGTAGACACAGTCGCCTCCCTTCACTGGCTACGTTTCGGTGACCTCTTTGGGGAAACCGAGGGTTTTGTCTGTGCAATACAGGATCAGGTTATTAAGACCAACAATTATCGGAGATACATCCTAAAGGATGGCGCCGTCGACATCTGTCGAGCTTGTCGCCATCCCGGTGAGTCACTTAGGCATGTCATCTCCGGTTGTTCGGCGCTTTCTAACTCTGAGTATTTGCACAGACACAATCTAGTAGCCAGGATTCTACACCAGGAGCTCGCTCTGAAATACGGCCTAGTGGATCGGAAACTGCCGTATTATAAGTACTTGCCGGAAGCCGTGCTCGAAAATGACCGCGCCAGGCTCTACTGGGACCGGGCCATCATCACAGACAGGACTATTCTTGCGAATAAGCCTGATATTGTGCTGATGGACCGGGCACAGTCAAGGATCTTTTTGGTCGACATTACCATTCCTTATGACGAGAACCTCGTGAAAGCCGAAACAGATAAGGTGACAAAATATCTGGACCTGGCTCACGAGGTTACCGGCATGTGGGGTGGTCTGCCGGCCGAAATTATTCCTGTGGTCGTTTCTGCGAACGGGTTAATCCCAGTCAGCCTCCCGGGTCATCTGAGGCGACTGGGACTCCATGACGGACCGCTCCAGGCTCAAATGCAGAAGGCGGTGCTCCTCGATACCGCCCGCATCGTCCGCCGGTTTCTTTCCCTTTCCCCCTAACCCTCGGCCGTCTGGTCTCCCCTGCCGAGGGCTTCCATCTGGTTGGGTTTTTATATATTTATGTATTTTTTATGTATTTATTTTATTTTATTCATATCTATGTATGTTTACCATTTTCATTTACAATTATATATTTATACTGCCCAACCAGATGAGAAAACTTTATAGATAACCCAAAATAACAATAAAAAATAGTCCTTAATATGTATAAGATCCATCCTAAGGTAACAGCATTGCTTAAACATATGATGTCGTATTGGTGTACTGAACTTTCTCTTAGTTTAAAGGGTTATAACATCAAAACGAACTACATTCACATACGTCGAGGAATTTTTCAGGGTGACAGTTTAAGTCCCCTCTGGTTTTGTCTTGCTCTGAATCCGTTATCTGCAATATTAAACAATACAGGTTACGGGTTTCTTATTAAGGGCGGTACTGGGATAGAGTTCAAACTTAACCATCTTTTGTACATGGACGACATAAAGTTGTACGCTGCTAATGCTCGTGAACTTAGAGGATTACTGCAAAGTACTGAGCAGTTCTCGAATGACATTAAAATGTATTTTGGCCTGGAAAAGTGTCGAACTTTAAGTGTTGATAGGGGAAAGGTCAAAAAGGCAGAAAGCTACGATCATACCTAAGGCATCAATTATACCACCATCCTGAAGGTGGTATAATTGATGCGATGGCTAAAGATGACAATTACAAATATCTTGGTTTACTCCAAACTCTTCGAATCGACCACAAGGAAATAAAATCTCGGATATGTAAAGAATACTACCGTAGGCTCAAATAAATTCTTGGAACGGGTCTTAAGAGCAAAAACATCTTCAAGGCAATCAACACATTCGCAATGCCAACAATAACTTACACCTTCGGAACTGTAAAATGGACAGACACCGATATCGGGAATATTGAGAGAACTACCCGTGTATTATTGACAAAATATCGGTTCCATCATCCTAAATCCGCTACTGAACGAGTAACTTTGCCAAGAGCTGAAGGCGTAAGAGGTCTCGTTGACCTAAGGCGGCTTTATTCCAAGCTAATAAAAAACTTGCAAAATTACTTTCTCAGCAAAGAGTCGTCTCCCTTACACCTAACAGTTACTTTAGCGGATAATGGTTATACTCCACTGGATCTTCTTCATTCTAAAGATGTTGAGCCCTTGGTTGCTGATGCCGAATACCTTAAGGCCAAACTTAACCAGTGGGCCTCAAAACCACTACATGGAAGGTTTGCCCACGAGCTTAGAGGCCCTCACGTTGATATTGCAGCGTCGACCAGTTGGTTGCGCCGCGGGGAACTGTTTGCAGAAACTGAGGGTTTTATGATAGCAATACAGGATCAAGTATTCCGACAAAGAATTACCTAAAATACATAGCCAAAACAAATGTCGAAGATGACCTATGCAGACGATGCTATCAGAAACCTGAAACGATCCAACATATCACGGGTTCGTGCCAGGCTCTTGCTGCATCAGAATACACTCAGCGTCATAACGATGTCGCTAAAATAATCCATCTAGCACTGGGCCGAAAATATGATCTATTGAAGGATGACAACCCGTACTGGAAATAATCCCTTAGTCCCGTGCTGGAAAATGACAACATTCAACTATATTGGGATAGATCAGTTCTAACAGACCGGTCCGTCCCCCATAATCGGCCAGATATTATAATTCTTTATAAAAAGGAGAAACGGGCTTATCTGGTGGACATTGGGGTTCCTAACTCGCATAATAATCAGCAATATATATTAGAAAAAAAGACAAAATACCAACCGCTTGCTGAAGAAGTGAGACAAATGTGGCTTCAGGATGAAGTAGAAGTCCTTCCCCTCATAATCTCAACTACAGGAATAATACCGCAGCAGCTTACCGAAAATCTTGCTAAGCTAGACCTACCAATGTCCGTTAGGAACAATATTCAAAAAACTGTTATCCTAAGGACAACTGACATTGTGAGTTAGCATCTTGCCCTATAAAACACAACCTCTTTGCATCTTGCTAAAAGCCGATCTAAGAGTTGTAAACCCAAAAGGAGAAAAAAAAAAGAATAATAATAATAATAAATGTGAATGTGAATAAGGCGTAGGGAAGTGAGGACCCCATCGCCCGCTGACGTAATGGTTATGTGACAAAACTGCTACGTCAGCGCAGTCAGTCAGCATCTTGCCAAGAGGTGTGAGCGCCGTGCCTCGGCAGAATTGAGGGTGCTAATTTGGGCCCGCTTGTGCCAAATCATGAAACGGTGCCGGGCCTAGGCGTCTCCCGTTAATTGACGACCAATTTATGGATGATGGAAGGAAATAGACTGCGTTTAGGGCCGCTGCCTGGGGGTCGCCGGGGCGCGTCTGGAGCTGGCGCTGGACGCGACAGCATGCGGGCCGCCAGCCGAGTGCGAGGTGCTGCACGACCACCTAGCAGCCCCTCGCATCCATCATCCCCACCAGCTGGCTTGGTGTTGGCAGGGTCTTCGCGGGCCCAGCAATCAGCACCCGCCACTGGTGGAGTATGCGTTGGTCAATGCAGATGAATAGCAACGCATTGCGGGCGTATTTTAGGGCGAAAGGGGGAGAAATTGGAGGTTTTGCGTATCGGGCTAGGATGCATCGACTTTTTGCTGAGCTGGAGCCATCTATAACCGTCACCGAGCAAAACCTGGCAGACCGAGTTCGGTATATCTTGCGCTCAAACATATTCGATAGCACTGAACTCGAACGGCTACGACGTGAGGCTGTACCCTCATCGGATGACAATGCTACGGCTGAGGATGCGGCACCACAAGTTGCAGAGCAACCAGCACACATGGATGCCGCCATGAATCTTTCAGTTATGGTTGGTTTAGACGATGATGGAACAGTCGCCCAGGAACTAGAACTAGAGCAAATGAGGAGTACATTGGAGGAGGCTATTTTGGACACGCGCAGTATGCCTCTCGAAAATCGACCGCGACTCCCGCGCATGCCCCTAAGCAAGCGGAATCGGGCTGTCGTGAGGGCTCTCAACCCAAAGCTGGTGACCTATTTGGAAGCCAGCCGGGACCTTTGCGAGACGGACTTAATTCTTTTTGGCGCCGCACTGGCAGTTTGCCGCATAATTGGCGCCAAAGTTCCCACGGCTGGACGCGCTACTAGACAAAGTAGCGTGATCCCAGCCTGGAGAAAAAGGATTAAGGACCGTATCGCAAAGGCAAGGGCCGTCATCGGCAGACTGATAAGCTTCAGGTCGGGCAATAATAGGCCTAGAATTGTGCGCACCGTCAGGATGGCGTTTGCAGGGACGAATATCAATTTGTCCCAGCCTGATATAACGCAAAAACTGACGAAGCGTATAGACGACCTGAAGCAGAGAATCGCTGCTTGGGGGAAGCGGATTCGGCGATATACCGAGAGGTGGACACGGTTCAACCTGAATCGTCTTTTCCGGAGTGATCAGAAGAGGCTCTATGAATCACTGGAGCGACCAATGGTACGTGGAACGGGCCCAGCACCGAATCAGGCCGACACTATCACATTCTGGCGCGGCCTGTGGTCAGAGCCCGTAAACCACAGCGAGGGCCCTTGGACGGAAGTTGTGGCGAGTCAGTGTGCGAATGTTACGCCCATGGACCCCGTCAGCATAACGCCGGATGACGTAGCTGAGGCGGTCCGTAGGGCCCCGAATTGGAAAAGTCCGGGACTCGACGGACTGCATCACTACTGGCTGAAGGGGTTCATGGTGTGTCACGCTGTGCTCTCCCGACAGTTTCAAGAGGCTCTCGACCAAAAGTCGCTCCCGAGCCTCTTCACTACTGGGATCACTAATTTGGTTCCTAAAGACCGGGATTCCACAGACCCGAGCAAATACCGCCCCATAACGTGTCTACCTACCATATACAAGACACTAACATTCATTTTGAGCGCGAGAATCATTCATCACCTGAATTCAAACCAGGTGATGTCGCGCGGTGGTCGTGGAACCAAGGAACCACTCCTCATTGACGCGGTCATTGGCAAGGTGGTTAAACGCAACCGTCGGAACCTCTCCGGCGCCTGGATAGATTACAAAAAGGCATTCGACTCGGTGCCTCATACATGGCTTAAGAGGGTCCTCGAGCTGTACAAGGTTGACTGTACAGTTCGAGACTTCCTCGGGCAGTGTATGGGGCAGTGGAGTACGATCCTTTGTCATCAAGGCGAGCGGATGACGGCTGCGGAGAACCACATAAGGATAAGAAGAGGTATCTTCCAGGGCGATTGTTTGAGTCTAATCTGGTTCTGCCTCTCTCTGAACCCTCTCAGTACCTTACTGGAGGGCTCCGGGAGGGGATTTCAGCTTCGGAGAGGAGGTACAAAAGTGACCCACCTTTTCTATATGGATGATCTCAAATTGTTCGCCTCCAGTCGCTCTCATCTTATGGAATTGCTAAACATCACTTGTGATTTTAGCAATTCTATTAGAATGGAGCTGGGGACGGATAAGTGTGCGATCCTCCATGTCGAAAGGGGAAGGGTTGCTAACTCTTAGGGCATAAACTTATCTATGCTCATCAGCATAAGGACCCTTTCCGAGGCTGAAACATACCGATACCTGGGTATGTCACAGAACATCGGTGTAGATGAGTCGGGTATGAAACGGTCAGTTTGCGATGTGTTTTATGCACCCTTGACCAAAGTGCTTAATAGCCTTTTGTCCGGTGTGAATGAGACGCACGCATATAACGGTTGGATCATACCTGTTCTCATGTATACCTTTGGCATACTCAGGTGGACTCAGACCGAACTGAACGCTCTGGACAGAAAAGTCCGCACTATAATGACGTCCCACAGGATGCATCATCCGAGATCGTCAGTAATGAGGCTGTACTTGCCGCAAAAGTATGGTGGGCGCGGCTTTTTAAGCGCGCTTATCATGCATAATCGCGAAGTGTGCAGCCTCCGTAATTACTTTCTGACGAGAGCGGATGATCCATACTATAGGGACGTTATTTCTTGTGATAAAGGGCTAACCCCTCTATCCTTAGCCAACGAGCAATGGCAAGACCCGGCAGTACAGAGCATTTCCGACCGGGAGACCGTATGGAAGGAGAAGGAGCTCCACGGGAGGTTCTACAAGGCTCTACATGAGCCTTTAGTAGACACAGTCGCCTCCCTCCACTGGCTACGTTTCAGTGACCTCTTTGGGGAAACTGAGGGTTTTGTCTGTGCAATACAGGATCAGGTTATTAAGACCAACAATTATCGGAGATACATCCTAAAGGATGGCACCGTCGACATCTATCGAGCTTGTCGCCTTCCCGGTGAGTCACTTAGGCATGTCATCTCCGGTTGTTCGGCGCTTTCTAACTCTGAGTATTTGCACAGACACAACCTAGTAGCCAGGATTCTACATCAGGAGCTCGCTCTGAAATACGGTCTCGTGGATCGGAAACTGCCATATTATAAGTACTTGCCGGAAGCCGTGCTCGAAAATGACCGCGCCAGGCTCTACTGGGACCGGGCCATCATCACAGACAGGGACTATTCTTGCGAATAAGCCTGATCTTGTGCTGATGGACCGGGCACAGTCAAGGATATTTTTGGTCGGCATTACCATTCCCTATGACGAGAACCTCGTGTAAGCCGAAACAGATAAGCTTGAAAAATATCTGGACCTGGCTCACGAGGTTACCGACATGTGGGGTGGCCGAAATTATTCCTGTGGTCGTTTCTGCGAACAGGTTAATCCCAGTTAGCCTCTCGGGTCATCTGAGGCGACTGGGACTCCGTGACGGAACGCTCCAAGCTCAAATGCAGAAGGCGGTGCTCCTCGATACCGCCCGCATCGTCCGCCGATTTCTTTCCCTTTCCCCCTAACCCTCGGCCGTTTAGTCTCCCCTGCCGAGGGCTTCCATCTGGTTGGGTTTTTTATATATTTATGTATTTTTTATGTATTTATTCTATTTTATTGATATTTATGTATGTTTATATATTTCGTTTACAATTATATATTAAAACAGCCCAACCAGATGAGAAAACTATATAGATAGCCCCATAATAATAATAATAATTTATTTGATACAGACAACACAGATCCAATACAAAATTAAAATTAAAATTTTTTAAACTATACCTTAATTTTTAATTATAATATTTGGTTAATCAATGATATTATTATATTTTATTAATAATATTTTAATAAATTTGACCATCTACTAAAAATTTCACTACACGCATACATATTACAAATAATTTTGATGAGATTATTCTGCGACCCAAAAACAAAACTTCTAAATCACGCGATACGGTGACGGATCAACGCATCCAAACCAACGACACGGGCCTCTGCGAACATCTGGGACGCGCTATAGTATCGTGGCTGACGGAACAACACGCGGAACGAATCATTATACTTCACCTTCAGCCTGCGATATTCCTCTTTAGTGTAATTCGTCCACAGCTGAGGAGTGTAAAGTGGCTGACAGTAAGCTGAAAACAACGCTAGCTTTGATGTATAAGAACACCTTTGAAAGCGTCTAGCTATCATGTTGGCACGCACTGACAAGGAACGACGCTCGCGGTCCATATCGGAACCATCACACAGATCCTGAGTAACAATATGACCCAGGTATTTAAACGTCGTTACCCACTTCAATTGTGAATTACACAAATACAATGTGGGGATATGAGGTTGAACCCTACCACTCTTAAAAAGCAAACAAACAGACTTGTTGGTGTTGTACAATAGGTTATGATCCATTGCATATTTCTCACATATCTGGAGTAGTGCACGCAGTGCACCAATCGAGGGACTCAGCAGCACCATATCATCAGCATAACTCAAGTTATTAAAGCATTCAGAACCAATGTGGCAACCCAGTCTGGTGCTTCTAAGCTCCAGACTGGGTTGCCACAATTAATGTTAATTAATATTATGTTAAATCTAATAATAGTAATAATAATAACACATATTAAGAAACAGTAGAATATAAAATAATAACAAAAGTATCAATTAACGTGAACAATAATCACATAAATAAGAAATATGTTTCTATTGTAATTTGTTGATAGAAGAAATCCATCCATCCCTCCATAAGGTACCGTGTAAGGTTGTAAAGTATACTTACTTACTTAAACCTAGTATTTTATATTTATAATGAGACAAGATGGTACTCGCCGCGTTGCAGCCTCAGAAAAACTCCGCGGATTCCGCTTTTTTGTAATTTTTTAAAGTAACTTGTAATATTAATAATAGTGTAAATAAAATTACGTAGAATGGAAAACAATAACAGACCCATGGGTAACTGAATTAAAAAATCATTTATCATCATCATCATTACAGTCAATTAAAAGTCCATTGCTGAACATAGGCCTGCAATGGAAATTGACAGGCAAGTTGGCAAACGAAGTTGTTTATTTTTTAGTAATGGGGAAGACGCTGCTGACCTTTTCCTGGTTTTTTCTATTTGTCACCTTTTACTACATCCGCGGTATGATTTGGGTAGTGAATATTTTTACACGACACAGTGTAATAAAAAAAAAAACATCCTGTATTATCTTTGTAGCTCCAAATGAGGTCACTTGAAAACAACTATTATAATGCCGTATGTCAGCCATGAAGTTATCATGCTCAGGGTGGAGATATTTTTTATCACACAGTAAAGAAGATCTGGAAGATTTTGCAAAGGTTCCAGCTGGACCTTTCCTGAATCGCAGCACATTCCCCCAGATGCATCCTTGTACTTGAGAGTTTTACACCAATTGCATTCGATGTTTTTTGGTCCCAAAACAACATTATTAACACTATCGTACGCTATGTTACTACGTAGGTCACTAAATAAGTTTGGAGATGCTCGAAATTTTAAAATAGAATGCACCCGTGTTATGTTTCTAAAAATTTATTTAAAAATAGAACTCCATAAACCAATTGCTGAATATTAAAAAAAAACAAAGTTCCAATAATTTTCCTGCAACGCTTCTCACGCTTTTCATTTAAAACGATGGATCTTAGCCGTGAACATTTGCACGCTATGGTTTAAGCGAACAATTAAATTTACAACGGTTACAAACAGCATCAGGGGACTGAGTTCCATCAAGCGCAACAATTCTCAGGTGGAATTCAAAAGCGGTAAAATTAATCTTAAAGATGACCAAAGAATCGGGGCCCCTCAAACAGCAGCAACGGCAGAAAATATATGGACTACTGAAATGTTGGTGCGAAAAGACCCACGAATCACATATACAGATATTGAAAAGATTGTAGGCATTAGTTCGGGGAGCATCATCCTGCATCAACATCTTGGAGTGAGGAAGCTTTGTTGTCGATGGATCCCTCGTTTGCTCTCCGAATGAGAAAAACAGACTCGTGTGGGGTGGTGCCATGAAATGTGTCTACGTTTTGAAAACGGGGCATCTAGGCATGTTTCAGAAATCGTTACTGGTGACAAGACATGGATTTATTAATATGATACGAAAAATAAAAGGCAATCATCGGTATGGATCTACTCAGAAGGACAGTTACCGACAAAACTGTAAAGACTTCGCAACGTCGGCAATAAATGGTGGCTAGTTTTTTTTCGCGGAGCGGACATTTGTCGCGACAATGCTGGAAAATTGTACGTCAGTCAACTATGAATAGTATACTACAGTTACATTACTCAAAGCTTTTTAAGCTGTCCGGGAGAGAAGACCAAAGATCAGGCTTCGGGGAATCATGCTGCATTTATTGAGAAATCTGGTGTTGAAACTCTATGTCACCCACCCTACAGCCCTGGCTTAGCTTCTTGTGATTTCTTTTTGTTTCCAAGATTCAAGGAAAAAATAAAAGGCAAGTATTTTCAAGCGCCGAAGAAGCCGTGGCTGCCTACGAAGAAGTGATTACCGACCTGTGAGATCAAGAATGGCAAAAGTGTTTTCATAGTTGGTTTAGGCGAATGGAACTTTGTATAGAACATGATGGAGAATATTTTGAAAAGATGTAAAATAAATATTAATAGTATCTAGAATACTTTTTGTATATCTTAAAACTTATTGAGTGTCCTACGTATCATAACTCAGTGCAAAAAAGGCTTAAGAATTCCAAGGTTATAGATGTATTTCAACTCGCTGTCCTTCATGATTTCGTTCATATCGTAACTGTGATACTCTGTACACTTCAGTGTTTGCACCAATATTTACTTGCAGCCTGCTTATGTACTTCAGGTTGTTCCCGCTGACAATCAACGACAGTCTGCCTGTGAAATTTAGGCTGTTTTTTTCTGATAATTAGCTGCTTGTTTACGACGATTAGAAGGTTTATTTTGATTAAATTTTTTTCTTGCTTCTTTAGATTGCAATTCTCTGACCACACTAGTAACGAAAAAATAGTAGTAACTTTTTGTGACTAACTTGTCAAACTAATTTTATTTTGGACTAAATCTTGGGTAGTGAATGTTGGAGATTCTTTGCAATCATTTGCGGACAAAGAAGAAATTAAATCTGACTCACATTCAGATTCAATAATTGGTATAAGTAGGTGAATGAAAATCTTGCACAGCATTAGAAATTGGT